CCCCAAAACCCCAAAACCCCAAAACCCCAAAACCCCATCCAGGACATATTCGATTGAATCATAGGCAGCTAAGGGTATACTCAAAATCAGGGAACTCTATTTAATCTTGAAGCTACTCTTCCTTGTTATCTTATCTTTTCGAGATATCAGCCTTCTTTCTTCACCAACCATTCTCAGTTTGCTATATTTTAACAAGGGATATTCTTTCTCCTTCTTCTCAAGTGTGAACGATGAGGTATCAGGAGTGAAGACATGCTCCTACCTTTTCTTTCTCAAATTTTGATCCTAAATTTTAGAAGGGTTAACCCTCTTCCAAGAGTAGATAAGGCATTATCAATATTTCCAACTCACTCTTATATCAAATTGCATCACCGATACTTTACATGATGTTCTTTTACTCTCGATAGTCTCCTCTTCTCTCTGTATGTAATGGCTTATAAGTGCAGATTACGACTCCTTCACAAGGCTTTCAACGTCTACTGGAAGCATTGTTCATCTCTTCAAAGAAAAATCTCTTTCTGGGCTTACTTTCTGTATAAGTAGGGATGAATGCCAAGAACTCCTCATTACTTTTTAGAACTTCCCAAAGCTTTTGGAAGCTGAATTCTTTGAATCGAGGAATTTTCCAGGTCTTGAGGTGATATTTGATACAAAACTGTTACAGAATTGCTACTCCTGCTACTTACATTCTTCTTTCTGCTCAAGATGTTCTTCATGTAGCACATCAAGCACCCTCTGTAAGAAGGTAGATAAAGATTAATTATATCCCCTGATTCGACACCATCTACCCACATTGGAACTTCAACATGTTATAAAAGCTCTTTTTTGAGAAGAACTGATTCTTCAGCTCATTTTCAGGAACCAATACATTTTCTATTTAAAAAATTTGTAATTGCAGATGAAATTAAGATTTATAAGTTCCAGAAGTTTCAGAATAAGCTCGAAATTTTATGAAAGAAAAGTAGACAAGTGAAGTAGAGGGAAGGCTCTTTGTTTTTAATAATTTGAAGTGGTAAGTTCTTCTTTAGAAATACACGCGCAAGTTGAAGTTTTGCAATTATTTTGGAAGATTTTCATCTCAAATTCGAAATCTTTAGAATATAAAAGTTAGATTTTGAAGATTTTTTTGGAAAAATTATTTGGCGATCTGGATGGTTTCTTTAAAGCTCAATCTTGTTCAGCTATCAAACTCATATGGAGGGATTTGATTTATTTATCTCTGACAAGTTCCTAGCGTTATTTCTCTTCCCTGTCTTTCAGCCTTCTTATTCTGGATTTAATTACGAACACCACCTTCTCTCACATATTACTGATGGAGAGTAAGAAGGAATAAGGATCAGAATTTTTTTTCTACATAGAACTCTTTTGTCTTCTTTGAAACATGAATTTTTGCATTATCAAGGATCATATCATATTCTCCTTCTTCTCTGCTGAAAAGCTCCTTGAGAAAGAGCTTGAAGTGTTTATTGTTGTAAGTAACTTTGTCCAGAGCATGGATATAGTCATTGGTAACAGCATTTAGATAAGCCATATTAGATCTTTCTAACGGCTGGTATCAAGTGCAGGTTGCCTATCTTGAGATAAATAGCATAAAACAACCTCGAATATTGCTTCGCCTCCTAGTTCTACCATCCCAAGCTCCAACAAAGGTCCTTTAAAGTTCTCATTGCCGTTACTAAGGCCCCAAATCTGATCAAGTCAAAACAGTCACAGACTCCCCTATTACTAACCTCAAATTTGGAGTCTCCTGCTTCCAAGTAAGCAGGCTCGACCACTTTCTAGATCTCCCTGGTTCTGGGATATAGAAATAGGTGTTCTTTAGAGAGTAACTATGCCTTTGTTTGTGACTCCATATTCTATATCTTAATTTTGCATTCCAAATTGTCTTAACTGAAGGGGTTTTGGGGTTTTGGGGTTTTGGGGTTTTGGGG